GACACAAGCCTGCTTCAGTCTCTGGGATGTTTTATAGCAGATCAAGCTGCATCAGATATTTGAGGTCAGTAAAGTCATGAAGGCATGAATTACCTTGAGCGAGTGATGTCACACACATGAACCGCACTGGCTGCAGATTAATGGAGCTATTAGCATCTTTCATCAGGACGGAGGATAAAGTCTCAGAGCAGAAGCAGCGAGTGTATTACAGCAGAACACTTTCTCTGATGGAGACACATGATACTCACTACATCAGCTACATCCCACCTCCTCGACACGAATGCAGATCAATCACACAGCACCAGAACAACATGAGAAATTATAGAACGCATAAAGAGAATAAAGCCTTTGTTGCATTGTGACAAAGCATGTTATTACTCACAAATTACCTAAATGTACACATATTTAATATTGTTTTGTAATTCTCATTCTCTAGTGTCATTACATTTCACTATCACTATAAGAGTCACTTAATCACAGCAAAGAAATATTAAACTTAAGCTTTTTAACTTTTATAAAATTTTACAACTCAAACTACAGACAGCACAACAAATACTACCATCATAAGTAAATATCTAATTTTATTAATTATTGAATGAATGAATGATAATTTTTATTATATTAATTAATCAATAAATCAGATGTACAAAAATACTACTTTCATTATTACTTTATAATAAATAAATAATTGGTAAAAAAAAAAAGAAAAAAAATGTATTGTTTGTTTGTAAATGTTTTATTTAAATGTAATTAATTAATCAAAAAATTACAGACAGTGCTCCAGTTTTATTTACAATAAATAAATAAATGCATAAATACATACATAAAAATATTTGTTTATAAAATTCTTACAATATGTATGCATGCATGCATGCATTTTTTATTTATTTATTTATAGATAAATAAATAAATAAATAAATAGTTTTGGTTAACTATTAATCAAAAAATATTAAATAAATAAATGACAAAAAAACTGCACAAAAATACTAACATCTTAATTAAATCCTTTATGTATAATAATAATACTTAAAAAAATGACAAATAAATAAGCATAAAAAGTAATTATTTGTTTATACATTTATAATGTATTTATAATGAATGAAATGTATTATAAATACATTAACTGCACTGTAAACTGCACTAACAACAAACAAATAAAATATATGATTTATTCTTTTGTGAACAATGTATTTTCTGTCTTTTTCCTTTTGATTTTTGGGCGAAACGTTCCCAGCTCTTCCTGACAGATGTCACAAGTTTGACCTTTCTAAGTGACTCAGAAAGCACGCTTGTCCTCGTGTTCGCGCTCCACTTTCACAAGCGGCACCTGGATCTGTAATGTGGCCGGGAGGGTAATGCCATTATCAGCACGCTAATGAGAAAGCAGAGACAGACTCCATCTATTCTCAGAGAAAGCGTGTGAAGCAGGGCGTTCAGCCTGACACCAGCCAAATGAAAAACACCAATATATCCCGGCGGCCTTGACCTCGCTGGAAGTGAAATAGAATTAAATAGATAAGAGCTGTCATCGAGTGCGGAGGGTGAACTATTGCAGACCGGCTGTCATGCTCATATGAGCTTCTCGTATTGATTACCACCCAAAACCACTTCGGTCTGTCAGCGGGCCGCAGGAATGAAGAAAACCTCCAGATCTGAAGTTTCAGAGATCACCGCAGAAGAACCAATGCAGCTCGACCAATCAAACTTAACTCAACGACGTCGCATTTACATGCAAACCGCTTCAGAAGTTCTCTCAACTATCGTCTTAAAACACTTAGACTTAAATTTGTTCATTCGCTAAATGCAAAATGCCTCATTCAGCCAATACATTTGTCTACTACATTTACATTTATACATTTAGCAGATGCTTTTATCCAAAACGACTTACAAATGAGGAATACGACAAGTGATTGATCATAAAGAGGCAAATAAACACGAGACGTGCTCGCAATACAACATTTCAGACATTTTTACAGATTTCCTTTTCTTAAAATTTCCATTTGGTAACACAGTGCATTAATTGTTTTGATTAGAGGTCAACAGAGTTAATTTTACTGATTTGTTTTTTGTTTTGTTTTTTGCCGATAACCGATTAATCAACCGATATTTTATTAAAAAAAATAAAAAATAGATACTGAATGAAAACAAATATATTTACAATTATTTATTATTATTTATACTTATTAAAAAAACTACACAACCATGAAAATGTACTGTACTTTGTAAATTAAATATATAAACATAAATATTAATATATTGCATATGCCGTGTTCATTCCAGTTAATTAACCAATGTGCATTAACTAATGTAAACAAATACAACTTTAAAATTTAAAATTGTATTAATAAATGTTGAAATTAACAATCTAACGATGAACAATACTTCTACAGCATTTATTAACCTTATTATTGAAATAAAATACATATGTATACTCTATTTGCTTCTATTTTAGAACACATATATAAAAAATATGCATGAAGGTGACGATAAAAAAGAACTGAAATCGGATGCGTTTTTTGTTTTTGTCGGCTAGATGAACATCAGTTTGCCTTCTCATGTCACTAGCTTTAAATGTGTAACGTCGCAAGGAAAACTTGAAATCGCATCATATGACCCCTTTAATGAATGCATAAAATTGACCAGCTGGACATAAAACAATACAAATAGACTGTAACAATCATAAATTTTGGGCTGGACTTGTGTGTTTTGGTCACACTGTTTTAACCGTTTGCAGTGTTTTCCTGCTCTCAGCCTTGACAGCAAACATACTGCTGTTTTTTCTCTACTAATGCAGCATCTAGTCAACAAGTTAATAATTAATTAATTGCTTTTGCATCATATAATGACAGTGGACACTTCTCAGCTGCTCCAGCAATGGATGGTGACCTGGAAAAACTATTGGTATGGTTTTTTGCCAATAACCAATTATTCCAGCAATCAGATATCGGTGCCGATTATCGGTTGATCTTTAGTTTTGGTAGTCATATATATAGTCTAATAGTGCACTCAATATGTCAAGTGAGCTATGCTATATTTGTTTGTAAAGTAACAATCATCCTACAAAGCGAAGAAATCCAGGATATAGTTTTAAATAATTGAACATACTGTAGGAATCATTACTCGACACACAAACCTCAAGAACAGTGACGATCAAAGATGAGCTGTTCACATCACAAGTCAACAAATAACTAACAATAATGACAAGACAACAACAAAAAATACATTTTTCTTTCATGCCAAAAATCATTAGGATATTAAGTAAAGATCATGTTCCATGAAGATATTTTGTAAATTTCCTACCGTAAATATATCAAAACTTAATTTTTGATTAGTAATATGCATTGCTAAGAACTTCATTTGAACAACTTTAAAGATGATTTTCTCAATATTTTGATTTTTTTTTGCACCCTCAGACTCCAGATTTTCAAATAGTTTTCCAAATATTGTCCTATCCTAACAAACCATACATCAATGGAGAGCTTATTTATTCAGCTTTCAGATGATGCATAAATCTCAATTTCGAAAAATTGACCCTTATGACTGGTTTTGTGCTCCAGGGTCACAATTGAGACTCAAAAGGTTTAGTAAACTGGAAAATATGTCAATGTTGTTTTACAGTGATGCAGGACTTGTTCAGTTTCTATGTGAGAGTCCGGCCGCTGTGTCCACATAAATCAGAAAAACTCCTGCCTGTTTCTCTCCTCCGTTCTTACGCAGCAAAGTGAAATTAGCCACGTCCTCGCAATTAATCCTGTCCCTGCTGTCTCGGGCGTGGAGGATCTGTGTGGTTAGGCGTCAGATTTAAGAGCGAACGCCACGGCTGCTGCTGCTTCTAATGGAAGCGTTTATTAGGGTGTGACAAACAACCTCATGAGCGCCAGCGACGGCACAAACACACCACACGTTTTAATAACGATTATTACTTACAAAACTGATAGTTCTTGAAGTCGTCCAGCTTGCATCTGAATCTACAATCCTCTTTGAATGTTAAACTGTTTGGCTTTAGTGAATATAAATCTGTGACAATGTGTTGAGAAACTAACACAAGACAACAGAAATGCTCATGAGTCTAAACAACGGTAAACGGACTGTAAATATGGATTTCTCTTTTGTTTTGTCTTCTAACCTACTAATGGTGACATTCACTCATATTGAAAAGCATTGTTTTAAAACAGAGGTATAAGAAGGTCAAAATAAGCAAATTATTCCCAATGCGCTGCTCTGAAACAGAACAACAGAGAGTCTACAATAAACAGGGAAAATATTTCCACTTGTAAACTTCCTTTTCACAAATCCGGAGTCCAAACTAGTGGATGTTAAGCTTTACTGAGTAATATTATCATATATAAATATATTTAATATATAAACGTAACATTTTTCTTACATATATACATGCATGTGTTTGTATTTATAAATATAATAAATAAAACAACAAAAACTAATAAAATTGACAAAAAACACATACAATTACTAAAACTTTAACTAAAATTAAAGTGAAAACAGAAAATTCACAAATAAAATCTAGTTCAAAATATTAACAAAAACTGTACAATAGTACATTAATGATACTAAAATAACATGATACTAGAATAAATCCCTTCTGTTCACAAATTTGTTTTCCCGAGTCTGTTTTTTTTTCTCCTTAATCTGCCTCTCTCACTCGATTCTCCATCTCTGCAGAACAGATCAGTGGCATTTTCACCTTCCCATTAAAATCTGTTAAAGTGCCGTAGCAGAAGTCTGTCTGACCAATAACATGACAGCGTTTATCAAAGCTACTGCGCTGACAGAGACCCTGATCATATGCTCAAATAATGAATCAAAGAGACACAACGCTGCAGAAACTGAAGCCTCAAACTCCATTAAAATCCATCACCGAAACGGATCAGCATGAATCAGGTCATTCATCATGACACCCAGCTCCAGAAAACCTGATCCAGAATCAGCCGTGCTCTGAGAGAGGCATATAAAACAGTAAAGAGCGGTGTAGATGGACTGACCTGACGGCACCCAGGGGTCTGAGGAGGGTTTCTGATTGGTGTTGATCTGCTCCCAGTCGTAGTCGTCATCTTTGCCTTGACTGTAGCCGCAGTCTGTGTAGGATTTATCCAGGAGGCAGTCTTCTGCTGAGAGGAAAAGAGAGGAGACATCAGTGATGCTTGCAACCTCAAAATTAGTCACACACAAACAGATAACGGCCAGACAGGTTAACCAGCAGGTAATCTGAAATACCAAGTGCCAATAGAGTGCAAAAGTGGAAAATCTTCATTCTTACTGGGTAAATAGTGTGAGTAAATCTATTATTTTGGTGAGTTTAGAGTAAATATTGTGAAAAAAATAATAATACTACAAATAAAACAAATGTTGTGATTGGTAAATGATGCATATAGGGTAGGATTGTGTAGTGCTGGGGGGATACCGGTTCATACCGAATACCGGTGTTTATTTTTCCGCCCGCTGCCATCAGCTCCCGCGTCTCACACACACGAGCGACTTTAGCACTAGATTTAGCAACTTTCAGACCCTTTTAGCGGCTTTTTTCCATAGAATATTCATACTGACAAACCTAGCGACTTTTTTCACCGCAGTTGTTTTTTTTTAGTTCGTTACTCAGACGCAGGCAGTGCGCTGCATGAGACAAAAAAGTAATACAGCCAAAACAACCGCATAGCCACTCTTTAGTGTAGATGCATGTTGATTTTATCAGATTATAAATGAGAGGGACTCCTGGTTAACGTATTAAAAGGGGTCGTGTTTAGTCACTATTTAGTGTGGTATTTTTTGACAATATTCACTCATCATGACAGTAAAATAGGGCATTCTAAGTCAATATACTGCAGTATTTCCTCTCTCAATCAGTAGAAAATATGGTTAACACCCAGTCATGCATGAAAAAAATACCGTCATGTACCGTGAAACTGGTATAATTTTGAAAAATACCGTGATATAAATTTTTGGTCATACCGCCCAGCACTAGCATTGTGCATAATTCATAACTGAATTGTGAATGCTTTTTAAATTCAATTCCTGAATTTGAACTGAGGAAGTAAACAGGATGCAGAACTACAATTTGAATGTAACAAAGTAGGATTTGAATTAAGTGAAATGAAAAAAAGCAAAGTTAGACAAGACAATCTAAGAATGTTGACTTGACAAAGTCTTGAAGGATTTGAAAAAAAAAATGTTAAAGGTTTATATAGGCCATGGATGGATGGATGGACGGACGGACGGACGGACGGAATGATGGATGGACAGGTAGACAGATAGATAGGGCAGTGTGAAGAATTAATTCTGCTCAACATGTCAATGAATGAAGCTGCTGTTCTGCAGCTCCAAATCACTGCCAGCCAAAGCCTCACTGCACAGAGAACAACATCACCATCACAGTATCACGTCACGAGTGCGTTCTGCCACACAAACTCTCGCTCGTTCTCATCCGCTGCGACAAACACAAGCGCTGTTTACTTTAACGCCCAGGAGAGCAGCTCAAACTCGCCCGTCTCGGCGTGACGCTCCGCCAAAACCAACATCCTGAAGGCACAAACACATCTCTCAGCGTTGTGATGTTTTCATGAAATTTCTGAGCATGAATCACTTTTTTTGCAAAGCAGACGCCCAGGAGCGGAGGATCTGGCTCAGAACAAGCGCGACTGAGTTGCGTGAATTTATTTTGGGTTTGAGTGTAACGACTGAGGTGTGAGCGAGTCTCTCGTGTCTGCTCTTTTATTTTGACAGCAGGCAACATTTTCTGCTCCCTGATGTGAAAAGCAGACTCCAGATTTTACATGATCAACTACATTTCGTGAACAAACAGCTCGCGGTTTCTAGCATCGAGTGAGCCGCGGTTGTTTGGTGCTGGGATTCCCTTGATCTGCGAGCATGTTTCGCTGTCAGGATGAGTTCAGATCACACATCACGACATCTCTGACTCTGCTTCTGCATTAAAGCTCGTTAGCAGCAACACCGCAGTCATGGCTTTGATTCCCACACTGATCAAACACACAGCCTCAACCCGTCTGCCAAATGAAATCTAATACACATACAGCTGCTGCCCTGCTAAGTTTCCAGGTTCTCAGGTGTTTCTCCGGACCAAAAACCCCTGTAATCTCACCTGTCTCTCCACTAGAGCTCCACAAGAGATCTCAGCAGAGTCTTTGAGAAAATCATCTCAATGTACTCGATTACACCAATCATGAAAATAATGACACCTGTCAAGAACATGTTCACGTCACATTTCATCCCAATGTCAAATAAAATAAAAGAAAATTATTTTAGGATTTGTTTTTTTTTTTTTTTGCACTGTGACTATTTTCATGACAATTAAACATATTTTAGACCCAAATTCTTATTATTGTAATATTGTTGTAATTGTAAAATAAATTAAAAAAATTATGTCATGAATGTACTTAAATTAAATTTAGAAAAAGTTACTGCATTACAGTACTTCTCCTGTAATGTGGTAAAATTGCAGTAATGACAATGGTGTAAGAATTGGTAATGAGAATAATGAGAATTGATTAAAGGGGTCATATGATGCGCTGTGTGAATGGTGCTTCGGCTCTTTGTATTAAGCAATGCATAAATACATGATGCTGTTTTGTTCATAATTGTTCATGCAATTTACGAAATTATATTTGATTTATACGAGTTAATTTAGACGTATTACACGTTTTTATAAAGTTACTTCCTTGCGTTGACAATTTAAATGCGCTGCATTATTTTGCTCATTGCGCCAATTAGACCTATACAATAAAGACCTATTTAATCTGCATATAAAACATTAGAAATTAGATATTTGTTTAATTTTTATTGTGTTTGATTGTTAAAACTAAAAATATTTGTTGTTTGTCTCAATAAATTGTGTTAATTATAAATACAGTGGTTAAATTTAAAAAAAAAATTCTCTTGCTTTTTGTTTTAAAAAAGGTTATAAAAATGTCAATAATTATCGATACCGAACGATATGAAACATTAAATCGTTGATACATTTTTTTAGCTATATCGCCCAGCCCTATTTTCAAGCACTACTTTTTTGGTTTTCAAGGGCTAAAATCAGAGATCTCACTTATCAAACAATATTGTTATTATCTTTCAAATTCTAATAAACTAATAAAACAAAATGGTACAAATAAAGTGCAGTACAAAAGCATGCAATGACTGTGGCAACTTTAACATTTGAAAGGATACTATGGCAAAGTTATCGCTTTCCTTATTCAAACTGATTTTTTTTCATGAATATATGATTGACCTGAAGAATGAAAGCTGTATCATACACTTGGGAAATTATGAGCTATATCACCACTTATCAACACTAGGGTGTGTTATAATACACTTAGCTCACGAGATATACAGATACTTGGTGCACTAGAATGAGACAATATTTTAATACTATTTTTTTTTTAATTACAAAATATTTGTCTTTTAATCACACAAATCAAAACAATGCAGTTGTGTTTTGAAATATTTTAACTAATATAGGGCTGTAACTAATGATTATTTTGGTAATCAAGTAATCTGATTATTTTGACAATTGAGCAATCTGATATTTTTTAGTAATACAAATAGACCTTTTGATTATAGAGTGAAACGTGAGCCTCGTTAAAAAGCTGAAAATCTTGAAAAAATGTGTGTTTTAAAATAATATTGATATTTTAAAAAGTTGACTTGAAAAAATTGTCATTGAATCAAAACGTGTTGAAAATAGATGATAATTATAATGAAACCCATCCCAGGGTCATTATTACTGTTGACAAAGTAAAACCATAAAAGTCATTTATTGAAATAAATGTTAACTGAAATAATAAATAAATACACATACACACACTCATATTGTGTGTGTGTGTGTGTGTGTGTGTGTGTGTGTGTGTGAGTGAGTTTGTGTGAGTGAGAGAGTGTG